CTTTGCCCATGCCGAAGAGGCAACTGGGTCTTGAGCAGTATTGTGGCCCTTAGGCTTTGGGAGAGACTCATAGTCCACTCCTGAACTTTGCCCATAGCGAAGAAGCAACTGGGTCTTGTGCAGTATTGAAGTCTTTTATCAGTTCCTTAGTTCGCGCTTGGGCCAGGTCGCGCCAGGTCGGCTCATGTGCCAGGCTGCCAAGCCGCCAAGTGGGCACTTCAGAGCTATGATTGCGCTGCATCCGCCTCGTAATGTGAGAGCTTCAGTTTCTTTGAGTTCATAAAAAATGGAAACTATAAAGCGAGAGCTTCAGTTTCTAAAAAGTGAGGGCTTAGCTTTCTAGGAGAAGAGGACTTAGCTTTTTGTAGGATGAGAACTTAGCTTTTTGTAGCGTTTTCCCACAGACGGCGCCAATTGATGTAACGATTTCTGGTTACGTCTCATTTTTTCTGGCTAAGTACCTTGTCACCTCGTCTGCTCCCAAGTGGCCGATGACTCAGAGGCTGAAGGGGAGCTCCCTAGCATAGCGCAACCTAGTTGCTCCTTGCAGGAGATGATCTAGCTACCAACAACGACGTGAACTGAGCTGGCTACTCCCTACTAGAGATGATCTGATCATCTTTGTAGGCGGCGGGAGCTGAGGAACCTGCGAGAACTGAATCAGAGAACCTAGGGGTGTATACCCGGTGAGGTCACTCCGATGGCTAAGTCAACACTTAGTAGCTAGCTGAGAATGATGCTAGAGAATGAGAGAGCTAGAGAGCAGAGGTTACCATCTCATCTCATCTCATACCTTTGCCCCTGGGGGGTGAGGTCTTTATATACTGGAGTCCTCGTGGGTTTGGTGGAGCAGTTCCTGGATTCCCGCTGTGATGGGACCTGCTTTCGTGTTAGGTGGGGATAAAGCCACCAACCAGTAAGGTTGCCCACTTCTGCCTAAATCGGGGAATGGGTGAGCTAATACAACCGTTACAAGTCACAATCCCGTAAAACGCGGGGTACGGTGGTGAGCTCCTTGGGGTTGTCATGCGGTGGTTGGTTTGACTAGGAGGCGAGCTTCTCGTAAGTGGTGAGCTGCCTAGTTGCGAGCTGCCTAGAGGTGAGCTGCTTGTGGCGAGCTACCTGTGGCAAGCTACCTGGTGGCGAGCTGCTTTGTGGCGAGCTGCTTGTGCAGTGCCGAGTTGTCTAAGTTGCCAAGCTACATGATGATGAGTTGCCTATGGCGAGCTGCCTGTGCAGTGCCGAGTTGTCTAAGTTGCCAGGCGACATGATGGTGAGTTGCTTGTGGCAAGCTGCCTGTGCAGTGCCGAGTTGTCTAAG